TATGAATTTATATTAACTATATGATAAAATCTCATAAAAATATTATAGAGTTAAATTATAGAGTTAAATATTATAGAGTTAAATTATCAAATAATAAATTTATGTGAATAATCTCATAAAAATCTATTAAAATATTATAATATTTTTAGTATGTAGACTTATTTTGTAGGAGACTTATTTTCTATGTGGTAGTCTGGTAGACTAATTTTGTATGTATGTAGTAGATTTATTTGTATGTAGTAAACTTATTTTGTATGCGATAGACTTATTTTGTATTGTAGTAGACTTATTTTGTATGTCGTAAACTTATTTTGTATGTGGTATGTAGTAGACTTGTTTTGTAAGTAGTAGACTTATTTTGTATGTGGTAAACTTATTTTGTAGGTGGTATGTAGTAGACTTATTTTGTAGGTGGTATGTAGTAGACTTATTTTGCATGTGGTAGAATTTATTGTGTATGTAGTAGACTTGTTGTGTATGTAGTAGACTTATTTTGTATGTGGTAGACTTATTTTGTATGCAGTAGACTTATTTTGTATGTGGTAGAATTATTTTGTATGTAGTAAACTTATTTGGTATGTAGTAGACTTATTATGTATGTAATAAATTTATTTTGTATGTAGTAGACTTATTGTGTATGTAGTAAACTTATTTTGTATGTGATATGTAGTAGACTTATTTTGTATGTAGTGGACTTATTGTGTATGTAGTGGACTTATTTTGTATATGGTATGTAGTAGATTTATTGTGTATGTTGTAAACTTATTTTTTAATCTGTTGTTTTTCAATTTATAAAATTTCTTTTGTTTTATCATTCATATTTGTTTCTTAATTTAAATTTATGTTTCTTCTCTATTTTTGTTTTATTATACTCCCTCTATTTTCTTTTTATAATTTGTTTAGTTATTTTTCCTAACTAAATGAGAATTTTTGATTTTTTTTTACTATTTAATTAGTTGTTTTGACAATTATTTTGTTCGTTTTCTATTTTTAGTTTTATTTTTTTCTTAATTAATTTTAAGTTCTAACACATGTCTTCATCTAATCAATATTGGACTCATGTTATGATCTGGTGAATTATAATTTTGCTTAAGTGTCAAACTGTCGTCGATAATATTTTTTTACTTGATTTTTTTTTCTCTCTACTTTTTTTAGAGTTTACACTCTCTCTATTTTCTTTCTTAATTGAATTTGATAATTAGTTTAAACTATTAAATTTTTTTAATCTACTATTAATTTTTTTTTTATTCATTAGTTTGAACAATAAAAAAATTTTCTTTTTTACTATTAGGTCAGTTACTTTACAATTTTTTTGTGCGTCTTCCAATTTTTTTTTTAATTAAATCTATTTTTAACACATGTCATTATCCAATAAATATTAAACACGTGACGCAATCTGGTGAATTACAATTTTGCCTACGTGTCGCATCTTTATCATGCGCACCCTCTTTTATATAATAAGATATACGGATCGGATCAGATATTCAGATTTTTAAAATTAGTATTTGTGATTTGCTTCGGTTTTGACGGATACTAAATTTTATTATTTGCTTTGCTTTGATTCAAAACGGATATCCAAATTTTTCAG